CCTGCTGTTTTTCCGCCTTTTTCTGCTGTTTTTCTGCTGTTTTTCTGCCTTTTTCCGCTGTTGTCTGCCCTTTTCTGCTTTTTTTCTGCTGTTTTCTGCCATTTTCTGCAGTTTTTCTCCTTTTTACTGCCTTTTTCAATCTATTCCTGATGTTTTCCTGCTTTTTTCCGCATTTTTTTGCTCTTTTCCTGCTCTTTTTCTGCCTTTTCTTGCTATTTTTCTGCCTTTTTCTGCCTTGTTTCTGCTCCTTTTCTGCTTTTTTCTGCTGTTTTATGCCTTTTTCTGCTGTTTTTCTGCCCTTTTCTGCCTTTTTCTGCTGTTTTTCTACCTTTTTCTGCCCTTTTCTGCTGTTTTATGCCTTTTTCTGCTGTTTTTCTGCCCTTTTCTGCCTTTTTCTGCTGTTTTTCTACCTTTTTCTGCCCTTTTCTGCTGTTTTCTGCCTTTTTCTGTATTATTGTATTGTGTATTCTGTATTATTTGAGGATCTTAGTACTGAATGCCCAACAACAAGCTACATTTGCACACTATAGGACCAGTTTGATAGAACACAATCTCAGACAATATATATAATCAGTGGGTCCCCCTCCATCAGTTTGGGGTCCTTTTCCTGGAAAACCTTGAAGACCCCTTTTCCCCCAGGAGCTGGTTTGGGGGCTGAAACTATGCTAGTGTTTGGGTCTTTTTGAGGGGTAAAGTTCTGATGGTTTTTCTGCTCTCAGGCCTAAATACGCCCTCCTGGATGAGTGCACCAGTGCGGTTAGCATCGACGTGGAGGGGAAAATATTCCAGGCTGCGAAGGACGCCGGAATCTCACTGCTGTCCATCACACACCGGCCCTCACTGTGGTAAGAGCAGAGATAGATAGATAGATAGATAGATAGATAAAATAAAAAGATAATTAACTCATTGACTGGCAGCCATTTTCAGAACAGAGTCCCATACTGCCAGAGTTTTTTGAGCATTTTGACTGATTTTTCTAGAGCCACAGAATAGTTTGTGCTATGACTATGTAAACACCGAACACACCAAAAGAAAGAGTAGACTCTCTTCTTTCATCAGGAAAAAAATGTGTTTCTACCTTATTCCGTTCTTCCTGGACTTGCGTCTCACCGGCGACATGTTCTCTCATAGAACCGTTCCCTTTTTCTTATTTGCCTACAGTCTATGCTCATCTCCCATCAAAAGTGGCACTGCCCCCTAGAGGGTCAATTTGTTACTACATACTCTGTCTAGAAGCCCATATTTACGGACAAGCTTTAGCAGATCGTCCCCCAGACACTCTCGCTGAAAAACACGGCACGTAGTGGGAGAGTTATGTCCATCCATGTCCCTAGGAAGTTGCTGCTTGTCTTTGAACTGGAGTCAGATTTGACCTGTTCCTTACTCTAACCCAGTGCTTCTCAAATAGTGGGGCGGGCCCCCCTTGGGGGGCGCGGTGCGATACCTGGGGGGGCGCGTGTGACCCTGGGAAACAGCCTTTTTTTTGGGGGCCGTACTAGTATAAAGTGTAATTGCACATCCACTCCAGTAGGAGGCAGTGGCGCTGTCATTTCTACTTCAGTGCAACATTTTACGGC